AGCAATGCCAGAAGAAAAAAAGAATTACAATGTCTTCTGAGCTAGCTCAATCACGCGTAGGACAAATCTAGGGCTGTCTACTGCTGTTATCTGATTAAGGTTTCATATGTACATGGGATTAAGTTCCACTGAACTCAGCATGTCTTGCTTCTGAAGAGGTAGACCAGCTTTCAGTTCTAACTTTTTGCGGTGGGGGTTGTGTTATCTAATTTGGGCTGAATCTGTAATCTCCAACAGGGGCCTCTTCACATGTTACCTTTTCAGACGTAGAGCTGAATTATAAAGGAGTCGTGTGAAACAAAGATGCTTGCAATGACACTTATTATACATGTATATGTGTCAAGGAGTCAGAAGCAGCAAAACTCACGTTTTGCTCTGCGGAGAGTGTGAAATGGCCCTAGAACTATTACTCTTATGCAGCCTCTTGCCAACCTATCTCAGAGCTCTGTGGATTAAAAACCATACCCCTAATTTCATCTAGCTATTACCCTGTAGGCATTGTGGGCGCTACAGTAGTATGAATGATAAATTATAATAACCACAATAAACCTAATTAACAACCTGGTGTTTTTATCTTTGTAATTAAATCTAGCTGCCATAATGATAACCGCTCTGGAAATCCTGCTGCTGCTGCTATTATATTATCATCAACATAGATTACCTTATGGTGGTATTTTTAACCTCTGGTCCTCAGACAGCTTCTTGCTGCTTTTGAAGGCTGCCTCTTGACACTCTACCGCAAGAGTAACGCTTTAAACCTTTTTCTGTTGCGGAGGAAGCTTTATTCTCCTCTTTCCTCCAGCAGCAACGCAAGTCTCAGTCTCCAGTAGTTAGAGACTATTGCTAGACGAGTGTGGGACCCTGCATGAATGAGAGAGCATCCAGGAGGCCAGGGTCTCAAGGCACGAGATGCGGCAACCTTGTGGAAACAGAGCAGACCTAGGTCTGGTTCTACAGGGGAGGCCATGTGGGGATCTCTTTGTATGCAGCTTTGAGTTGGACTGGAAGAAAAGTGGGGAATAAATGTAAATGAGAGCCAGTTTGGTGTAGTGGTTAAGAGTGCAGACCTGGGAGAACCAGGTTTGATTCCCCCCCTTCTCCACATGCAGCTGCTGGTGTGACCTTGGGTCAGTCATAAATTCTCTCAGAGCTGTTCTCTCAAGGTCAGTTCTCAAGAGAGCTCTCTCAGCCCCACCTACCTCTCAGGGTGTCTGTTGTGGGGAGGGAAAGGGAAAGGAAACTGTAAGCCGCTCTGAGACTCCTTCAGGTAGTGAAGGGCAGGGTATAAATTCAACCTCTTCTTCTTCTCTTCTAAATTAAGTGTGAGCTCGTCACTCAAAGATATGTGCCTGCTGGCAGTGACATTTAACAAAACAAAAAAAAGGAGAAAAGACATCCCCACCCCTCAATATCAGTAGAAAGCATGCATACCTCGCTGGACTGCTTTTTTAAACATTTCAAAAACAATAGCCCCAAGGGAAAAGTCAGGGGTAGACTTATGGATTTGTTCAGTATGACAGAATGAAAGAACCACATATGCTGCTGAGTGATCACTGCAGGAAGGACAGGAGGCCTGTTACAAGCCAAACAGCAGGGGGTGCTACCTGAGCCAATGAAGGTTGCCCTGCTGACACACCTCTCTCTCTGATGCAGCCCAATGGAATGAAGGGATAAAAGTGGAGACAAGGCAAAAAATAAGGTAAGGTCATACATGGAGCTTGGTGGAATGTGAAGGTCCTGGATGGATCCAGGCCTGGGATCAGCTACAAAAGCTCTTAATCAATCTGGCTCTGAAATGCATGTGCTTTTCTAGATCAGACCAATAAACACCATGAAACACAGATGCTAACAGGCCTTTTCCTGTATTGTCTGGCTTAGCTGCGCAACCACATTGGGAGGAACTGTTTGTATGCTTGTCTGATAGCATCTATAGTGGAAAAGTGGCTTCAGGATTATTTCCCAGTAGTGCACCTACTTGTCAGAACCCACAGCCAACAACGTAGTACACGCTTATCAGGGAAGGTAATACTTTACTGAAGAGCTATAGATGCATTCACATAGGCACTGTTAAGAATGATGGCTGCCCATGGGCGTAATAGGATATAGGGAATTCATATGCACCCCCCCACTGCCCTGGCCAATTAGCCACCCTCCCGCACGCGGGAGATAGAGCTTTGGCCGTTAAGCACTGAAGCTGGGAACGAGACACTCTCTCACGATTCCCAAGAAAACCAGACATCAACATCCCCACCTGCAATACTTAGAGATAAGCATTGTAGCAGCAAAGAAGAACAGAAGGAATGCAAGGCAATTATAAGACAAACTCAACCTCCCCACCCCCATGGCAGCATAGCTGACACTACTGGATAATATACCAGAATCACAGCCTTTAGTTCAACAGAAATGGTTTTACAAGCAGTGCCAGCTCTTGAACTAATTATAGTATTATTAAAAAAAGAAATCTAACAGAGAGATGTTACCAAATTTTGTGACAACCCTGGTTCATTTTAAAAGTTGAAGGTTTTTTTTTAATGGTTTCTTTGTACTTGGGATGAAACTGCAAATGTCCTTTGCCCCAAGCATATTAATGACATTCAATAGAAATACAGCCATTAAAATTGATGCCCATTTTCTGCGTCAAATGCATATAAATGGCAGAACCAACGAAATGAAAGCGGGAAATTGGCCAAAGAAAATAGGCAGAATGGAAATGGCCTTCCCAACCATGCATGAAAACTGAAACAAACAAAAAATCCATACATACCTAAACATATTAAACAAAATGTAATGACTAGCCAACATATAATATATAAACAAACTGCAGACCATTTTCTTATAATGTAAACAAAAATTCACTTTCACAAATTATTCTAACTGGCTGGTCACTAGATATATTCTCTTGTCGTGTACTGTGTATTGTAGCAACAAGGCTAGGTTTTTAATGTGGTTGAAGGCTGTAATGTTTTGGGAAACCCACTGTGGAATGTGAAATCATCTTGCTTGAAGTTTCTTGTACCTCACCACACCAGTCAGTGGTATGGAGCCGGGAGGGGAAAAGCATTAAAATCATGGCATGATGACATCAAATAACATGGGCAGGTTTCACAGATATGACAGATGACAGAGAGAACTTGTGATAGATAATAGAAGGAGGAGGAGGAGGAAGAGGAGATTGGATTTATACCCCCGCCCTTCACTCGGACTCTCAGAGCGGCTTACAAAATCCTTTCCCTTCCCCTCCCCACAACAGACACCCTGTAAGGTAGGCAGGGCTGAGAGAGCTCTGAGAGAACTGTCCTTGAGGGAACAGCTCTGACAGAACTATGGTTTGCCCAAGGTCATCCAGCAGCTGCATGTGGAGTAGGGGGGAATCACACCCAGTTCTCCCAGATTAGGGGGGAATCACACCCAGGGGGGTAGGGGGGAATCACACCCAGTTCTACACCAGACTGGCTCTCCACCAAACTGGCTCACCTTGATTCACCTTGGAATTAATCTGAGATGAACGGAGTGATTCCCAGGAAATCAACAACTATTCCTGAATCTAATTCCAAGTGCTCAGAACCCCATAGGGCTTCAATAATATCAGCAGCAGCACAATGAATTTCTCAGTATCCCAACCCCTGTCTCCATCCCAGCTTAATGGCTGATGCTGTTGTGGAGGGAGATAAAAGCAGACAGCTGGTCAGCAACAGGACTGCCAGTCCCTCCTTCCTTCTCTTCCCCTTACACCTAACGTTAGTTGTGGCAAGGGTCACATATTGTAGCGCTCACCAGGTGTCTGAGAAGCTGTGTCACTGAAGCACCCATGAGAAGGGTGGCGGAATGGGGAAGAAGGCCAGAGAGAATCTTCCCTTCCACTGACCACCACCACTGCATGCCTCCAAAACAATCATAAGCAGGTGAACTGACAACGAGGAGTGGAAGAGGAGAGGGAATGGGACAGTTTTTCTCTGAGGCCGAGAAGTATCTGGGGGCTGTGATGCTGATCTCACTTTGATGGCAAACATGATGAGCGGCTGGAGTATTAAGTTCAGTAACCCTCTAGGGAGGACTGTGTACCATTTGCAGCGGGGCTAGCCTTCACAAAGGGGGGGGGGAAAGATTTTGAAGGGGCTGACTTTTAGCAAGACATTTTACATGATGGTCCATGTTTATTTCCCCCAGTCTAGCTTTGAGTAACGGTCTGGAAATAATTTTTTTAGGCAGTTCTTTAAAACATATGAATTTCACTGCTCTTCCACAAATTTTATGGCTCCAGTTGTTTTATGGGAAGGCAACAGGAGACCATGAAAGGCCCTGAAGAGGTTGTAGAGGGGTGGAGAGGATCCCCCCCCACCACTATGA